TGTTCCATCATTCACAGTCATATAATATGACTGGAAGAGTATTGTGGTAAAAATATGGATTTGTATCTTGTGTATTTTTTCAGGTTTGTCTTTTTGTGTGATCCCAACAAGGTCAGTCTTATTGAAGGGGTTTCATAGTATTCTGGTGTATCATGCAACCAATTCAATCTCATCTCTTAAAATCAGAGTCTGGAAACCTCTTCAGCTATAAGGAATCTTTCTCCCATTTGGACTCTTTGTAGAACATCCTTGAAGCCCAAGGTGAAATCCCTTGATGAGCTTACATCTTCCATTTTTTTTGTACCTACTTGATATGAATAATCAAAAGATAATTCAAGAATTACTATTTCTGTAGTTGCATCTCTAAAGGTATCTTGTATGATTTTAACATGAAAATACTTTACTGGGGGAATGACTTTATGGCTGTATTTCATTCAGTGGAATTGATGTTTTCTGAGCAACAATATATAAAGAAGAATATGGTACTTTCTACAGCTTTGAGTCAATTAATCTTTAATTTCTCTCATTGAAAGAAATGCATAATTCTTCCTGTGCCTTTCTCAAATTTGTTTTCTTACAATACTTGATACAATATGGGTCATTATCATGGAGATTTTATAGAAATAAGAAAGTAAGTATAATATGTAGTAATTGCTTATGGATTTTCAGTTGGCCCTTTTAGGGGAATGATACTGTGTTTTTTTGTAGTCTTTTGGCATATTTGACTTTTTGTGAGATAGTTTCAAATTGATTCTTCAGTGCTTTCAAAATTACAGTTTTTACAGCACACATTTCTTATGTGTAAACTTGGTCTGATATCAATGCTCTTCCTGACTTTATCTTTGAAAGTACCTTTTCTGCTTCTCAGAGCACATAAGGAACTGAGGCCTTAGAGTTCCAATGTGATGTTGTAGTATAAGAACACTAGTAAATCTGTCCTACTTTTTTTCTCTATTTCTTAGTCTCTTTTCAGTTTCATCTACAAATAACTGTGATAATTCAGTTTAATTTTGTCTCATCCCAAGATTTCTGTAGATTTGTTTTCATATTTGCTACTTCTTTCCTTATCTTCTGTAAAGTTTTGTAAATGAGTTTATAGTCTAAACAGGTTTTTTGCCACATCTTTCCTCTTGGCAAGTAGATCAAGGTTAGCTTGCTGAGGTGGTTGCTGTATTCCTTTTGTCTCTTTGTTGTGGTGATTGTTTGATGTTAATTACTCTTTGGAATGAAGTAGTGATAATCAAAGTCCATTTTTTAATGTCGTACAAATTGTACACAATTCCTTTATCCTTGCTCTAATGAGTTGATGAATGGATTGCACACAGACAGCTCATTTGGAAATGTCTCCTACAAAGGCAATAGGCTATTTGCTATCTATCAAATTTTGGTCACTTTATTTTGTTTGTATGTTATGTTGTTTGTTGTCTGGCATAGCCGGCATCTTCAAATTCTTGTGTGGAAGAAAGTATTTGTAATATCCAGCTACTAGGCTTTTGAGTAGTCTGCTAGGCTCTGACCTTTCTCATATTTTAATTCTGAAACATATGTCTACCTTTATATTGTATGATCAAAGGTAACAATACATACTTTGATTTGGTTGGAGGGGTCTGTCAAAGTTCTCCAAAATAATTTGTCTTCTTATTCATCCTCTGAATAATGAAGAATAATCTCTAGCTATATTGAAGTTAATATAGACCACTACAAAGTGAGATAAAACATCATTTTATGGAATATTTGGCATGTATTCTTAAAATCTTCTTTCTCTGATAATCTGATCATACAAATCTATGTGGCTCATTGCTGTTTTAGTTATCATTCAAAGGGAAAGTTGTGATTTGCTCCATTTACAAACCATGGAAAGTTCTGATTAAGATGATAATTCCCCCTTAACAATGGTGCAGGCTGGGAAGATTGAAATAGAATGTTGGTTTTGACTTAGTCACTCCTTGCAGACATATCTTACTCTTCAACTAAATAAAACTTGAAAATAGTAATGGCTTACATATACATATACAATTTTATATTGAGGTCAGGATGAAGTAGTAGTAGTAGTAGTAGTAGTAGTAGTAGTAGTAGTAGTAGTAGTAGTAGTAGATGTTGTTATTGTAGCAGCAGCAGTAATATCAGTAGAAGTGATAGGGATAGAGACTGGACCTGTGATTTCATTGATATAGGTTGAGGAAACTCAATCTACTAATGGAAGTTGGAAGGTTTTCCACAACCTATCGTCTTAGAGAATTGTCTAGAGCCTGGGTCACACAGATGTTGTATGTCAGAAATGGGACTTGAACTCAGGTCTTCCTGACAGTACACTCTCTATCAAGTACACCAGCTTGCTTCTCATCATCAGAATCATCTCCATTACTCTCATCACCACCACCACTACTTCCATCACCATCATCATCATCATCATCATCATCATCATCGTCACTTACTTTTACATAGAGTTTTTGGGCCTGCTAAGAATGACACAGACATCAGCTCAGTTAGTCTTTATCACAATCCTGGGAGATATTAGTATCTGTATTGTACAGATAAGGAAAGTGACTGAGAGTAAAGATATGGTTGAGCATAAGTAATCTTTTAAAAAATACATGTTTATTTTTAACATTCAACTTTTAAAAAATTTGAGTTCCAAATTCTTTTCTTTCCTCCTGCTCTTCTTCCATTCATTGAGAAGGCAAGCAATATGATATCAATTACACATGTGAAGTCATACAAAACATATATGTATATTAGCCATGTCACAAACAAAAAAAAAACACAAAAAAAGTGAAAAAAGTATGTTTCAATCTTCACTTAGAGTTAATCAGTTCTCTTTCTGAAGGTGGAAAGCATTTTTTGAGAATAAAGGTTCTTAATGATTTTCTGTGGAATGCAATATAATTATTTTGTCATTACATCAAGGACCTGATTTTTTTTTGGTGTGGGAAACTACCTCCATTGACCATAACCTTTCCATGATTTATAGACATTTACCTGAGACGCAGGTTAAGTTATTTATCTATGGTCTCACAGATTCTAAGGCAGAATTTGAAACTAGGTTGTCCAGACTCCAAATCTCACCCTCTTTTTACTATAACACTTTGCTTCTACTTAAAAGAAAAAAAAAGATATGTGAAGCATACAAAGTAATATGGAGAGATTTATATGAGATGGTGCAGACAAAGCAGAATAGCAGAGATGTCGATGCCAACTATGTATATAAAAAAAAGAAAGTAAGAAGGGAAACAGGCGAAGGCTGTGGAATTTCAGGTAGCACTAAATGGGGGCATAAAAAAAATTTCCTTCCTTGCATGTTGTTTATTTATTGATTGTGCCTTATTAAAGACTATGGGATTTGGAGAGAGAAGTTAATCTCTCAGCACAATGTCTGACACTTAGTAGGTGCTTAATAAATGGTTGTTGAATAGTTTGCATATTTATTTAATTGTGTGTATTTTGTTATTTCCATTGATGATACTTAAATATATAACCATACATATGCATATATATTTATATACATATGTATGAACTAGAGTGTTATATATTTGTTGTTCAGCCATTTTCAGTTGTGGCTGACTCTATGACTCCATTTGAGATTTTCTTGGCAAAGATACTGGGGTGGTTTGCCATTTCCCTCTCCAGCTCATTTTATAGATGGGGAAACTGAGGCAAACAGGGTTAAGTAACTTGCCCAGGGTCACACAGCTAGTAAATGTCTGAGACTGGATATGAACTCAGGAAGATGAGTCTTCCTGACTCCAGGCCTGGGACTCTATCCATTGTGCCACCTAGCTACATGTATATAAAATTATAATGCTATAACTATATGTGTATATATGTATGCAGTATATATATATATATATATATATATATATATACACATACTATATATATGTGTATATGTATATATGTGGGTATATATGCATATATATATATATATATACTATATATGTGTGTATGTATATATGTGGGTATATATGCATATATATATATATACTATATATGTGTATATGTATATATGTGGGTATATATGCATATATATATATATATCGACATGTACATATAACCTCTCTATTATCTATCTATTCTGTTGTATCTCCCACAAGAAAAAAGAAAAGAAAAGCTATAGTACCAAGGTATTCCTAACTCAAATGATATCATTAATCTCTATAAAAATGGCCTTTGATCTGAGTAGTGTAAACTGTTAGTCCCACAAGAGGAGATCCTTGTTCCAGGATGTAGAATTTGGTGGACCTGGTCCCATCAGGTCTTTATACCATAAAAACTATTTAATCAGAACATGATTCTGGCCCCTCCTCCCAGTCATATTCATTGATTCTAATAGGTTGCATAGGAACTACTTTGCTGAGAGCTATATCTACATGTAACTGTTGAATTATGTATTCCCCACCCCCACCTCAGCAAACAGTTTTTTCCCTACTTGCAACTTTATGACTGATGTTGACTTATTTTTTTATCACAGACTCTTGAATGGGACCTGAAGGGTCATTCAGTTCAACCCCTACCTGAACAAGATTCCTCTGTAACGTACTTAAATAGTGGTCAACTGACTTATGCTTGAAGCCCACACTTACCCTCACCTCCTGCAAGGCCCACAGTTCCCCAGTATGAAGGGAGAGTAAATTACCTTCTGACTCAGCCCATTCCACTTTTGGATAGTTTTATCAGTGGATAAAGCTCCCTGATCTGGAGTCAAAAAAACCTGAATTCAAATCTGGCCTTTGACACTTACCATCTGTGTGACCCTGGGCAAATTACTTAACCTCTGCCTCAGTTTCCTCAGCTGGAAAATTGGGATAACAATAGCACTCACCTCTCAACACTGTTGTGACAAGAAAGACTGTAAACCTTAAAATGTTATGCAAATGTTAGCTATTTATTATTATTACTATCATTATCATCATTTATTAGAAACTTTTCAGTTAAACTGAGTCTACACCTGCTTCTATAACTCCCATTTTCTTGACCCTAATTTTCTCTTCTGGTTTGAGCAGGACATGTCTAATGCCTCTACTATGTGATGACCCTTCATTACTTGAACATACTACCATGTGTGATCAAAGGATTATCTTCTCCTGGCTAAACATCCCTAGTCCTTTCAACTAGTCCTCATGTGACGTGCTATGGCGGTCCTTCACCATCCTGTTTACTCTCTTCCGGATGCTCTTCAGCATAACAATATCCTTTCTAGAATGTGGTGCTTGGAACCACTCACACTACAGGGCTCGGGTTGGTCCATTAAGAACACTGCAAACATTGGTTGCATTGGTTTTAGACCCATCAAATAAACACATCAATTATGATTGTTGAGATGCCAGAGAATCAGATTACTTAACAAGGACTAAAAAATGGTTCCTGAGAACAAGTGCATTAACTCCCAAGTACTTTTTTATATTCCAGTTGGAGAAATAAAAGTTGTGTTTGTCTGGTCTCTCTGCCACATTGAGTCATTGTGCAACTGATCAGCCTTGGTTGTTGGACAGCTCATATGAGTGCGGAGACTGAATATATCATGTGTTTCATCAATTTCTTCTTTGGCTTAATCAGGTCATATCAGGTGTGCTCTAGACCAGTCTTTTTGTGCGTGTGAACTAGGTTATTGCCTCTGGGTGTAAGTTAAGCTGTCTGGGAGAGTCATTACTCATATAAACCATGAGGGAATCATTTAATAAAATGGTGCTCTAAATAGCATGGTAATACTTGTAAAAATGCCCCGTTTACGGTACCCCATTACTCTTGGGAAGTACATTTGGCAGGGTAACACTTACAGTCTCTCTCTATATGGTGTTTCTGAGTGAGCATTTTCTAGTTTCCCTTTTATTTGGCTATCCTAGAAACTGAACATGAGTGTGTTGATTGCCTCAGAGTCAATATAATTTGCTTATTCATGCTAATCTGCTTAGTATGGCCATAGCTACCTCAGTAATTAAGCAAGCAATAAATATTTATTAAGCACCTATCACATACATATACTGTGCACTGTTTGGCACTGGAGATACAAAGGCAAAAGCAAAATGGTGGACTTCCTGTTATTTCAAGGGAACAGCATCTACATATTTAAGTGTATCTGTGTATATAGCCATATTACATATGTATGTATGTATGCATATATATACATACTTTATATATAGTATGTGTGTGCATGTATGTGTATATGTTACCCAAAATAAATCTCTCCCCCCATAGACAGATTCAGACTAAATCTTTTCACTAGGCAGACAGGGTTTGATTTGACATCAGCCCTGAACTTTTAGCCTTTCACTATTTTCCTTTATGCAGTATTAAAGGAGCTATGAATTCAGATGGCTCATGTCATGATTCAATCTATCCATAAAAAATTCTTGATTTACAGGAATCATATGTACCTATTGCCCAATAGTTATGGGTATCAGTCACTGCACACCCACCTCATCTGTTCTGGTTAACAATAATCACTTGGCCAAGCTTGGCAAGCTACCCAGACTCAAGTTTCCATAAGTGGAAACAAGGGGGAAAAAAATCAATTCTTTTTGGTTTATATGTGTGAAATTAAAACACTTCTAGTTTTGAAAAGTCTGCTTGGGTGAAAAGAACTAAGTTTGCCTCCCTGCTCTGTTAAAGAGAAACATTTATTTCAACTTTTCATTAATGTGTTGATCAGTAGCAACTTTTACTTAGCAGGATTCAATATTAATTTCAGTAGCTAGCTCAGGAGCCTGGCCTACTAGGGGGCTATTTGCAGCTTTCTTTCCTTTTAAAAAATGGGAGCAATTATTCGAACTCATGAGAGTAATGGGAACAGCCATACACTAAAAACAGAAATTATAAAATTATCCAGGCAAATTACAGAGTAGGGATAAACCCAGTGCGTGCTTCCTCCAACTGCCCTGCTGCTGACCTTCCTCTTGGAATGGACAGACCACTTACTTGAAGGGGGTGAGATGTTGGAGACTATGTTCTTTAAGCCAGTCTGAAAACTTTTGCTCAAAATGTCATCTGAGGGCTCAGCTAGATGAGGAACATTGGTTCTATTGAGATATCTATCAGAACCTTTACTAAAAATAGAAAATGTATGATATGAGAGTCCTGGTGTTAAAGTATGAGTCAGAATCTGAGATTTGGGTGATCATTTTGGTCCTATTAGGTCATCATGACTCTGAGTACTGTTACTTTGCAGTATTATCCCTGCTTCAAACAAACAGACAAACAAAAACAAAACTTCTTTCATTATTGATGAACTTATTTCATGTTGGCAACTTATTTAATTGTTGCCCATAGAACATAGTGGATAGATTACTGGACTGAGTCAAGAAGTATGTGGTTCAAATTCTAGCTCTGAAACTCATTCATTCAATATGCATTTTGTTAATAAGTATTAAGTGCCTTTTGTGACCAGGTACTGTTAGATGCTAGGGATAACATTAAGGGAAAAAAAAAACACTCTGCTCTTAAAGACATTGTGTATTCTGTTTGGGGTGGGGGATGGGGAACAACAACATGTAGATGGCTAAAACAACACAAAATAGAAAAAAAAGCAATATTGGTGGAGTGCGGTGGGAGGACACCATTAACTAAGGGCATTGGGAAAATCCTCATGTACAGTGCAACCCTTGAGTTAATTTTGAATATGGGAAAGAGTCTGGGCAAAGGCTTGGAGATTAGTAATGTGTGTGGGTAATTAAAAGTAAGCCAGCTTGGCTCAAACATAGAGATGTGAAAGGGAATAGTCTGAAAGAAACCTGGAAAAGCAGGGTAGAGTCTTGTCATGAATAGCTTCAAATGACAAACAAATAAATAAGAATTTGCATTTTATCCTAGAGGTGATAAGGAACTGGCTGTAGCTTCTTGAACTGGGGAGTAGTACCATGATTATGCTTTTGCTTTGGAAATATCCATTTTGCAACTGAATGGAGAGAAGGGAAGGACTGGTGTCCTTCTGGAAGTTTCCTAGGTCTTATCTATAAAGTCAAAGATGGGTTGCTATATGCCTCAGTGGAAGGGATTTTCACACTGAGAACTCCAAATGCTAATGAAATCCCAAATCTGTTTGTAATATTTGGAAAGGTTATTGGGAAGTGCCATATATTATTATGTTTTTTTTTATTATTAAAAATCACATTTCCTCACCTGGAAATCAGGACAATGCCTGTGTGTGCACGTGCACACACACACACAGGCACACACACACACACACACACACACACACATAAGTAACCCACTAATAAGTAACCCACTCTTCTCCCAACAATTCTGATTCACTCCTGAAGAAAAACAAGTAAAAAACGTTATCATAGGAGAGAATAGTCTTAGTGAGGCAACTGTTAGTTACCAGATTCTATGATATAGGGCTGCTGTTGCCAAGACATTTCTTATTAGTGATACTATTTGCATGAGGATGAATTCAAGGAAGCAAACATCTTATGCACTTAGCAAAATGAAACACAAGAATCATTAGGGTGTAGGTGGAAAGGTATTTTTCTAGGAAACACTGGAGTTCAATAGAACAGATGTTCTAAGACTTACTAAAACTTTTCCAAATGAAATTTCATCTCATGTTCCTAATTACCGCACTGCTCTCCTCAGATCCTGACAAATGAAACCTGTTAAAATTCTTGTGTAGACTGAAGAGAGGTGGCATCTGCTGCCTAAAGCCACCCCCTCCCTCCCATCTCCCTGACAACTTTCAGCTCAAGGCACTTTGACCCTTCAGCTGATTATCTGTCTCCAGCGCTGGCTACAAAAATGCTGGGAAATTAGTCCTTTGGAATGCATGTTTTGCATGCTTCAAGTACATTATTAGAGTCCTTCCACCCTGCCTACCCCCCTTCGAAAAGCAATAGCATATCACCGCATTCATAATAAATGCTCTTTGATTTGCCTGGCTCTGGGTTTGCGATACACCCCCACTCAGATCCTGTTTTGTTCTTCAGTGTGAAGTGATCTGAGGGTGAATTTTCATTCCCAGAAAATTTAGGTTCTCCTTGTCCATAGATCGGGTAGCAGAAATCTTCCTATTACCTTTAAGGGGCTGTGTTAATGAAAGAATTTTAATCATTGACATTGCTCTGTGAATTATGTATTACAAAAACCCCTGCTGGTGAGTTAGACAAAATTAACCCAGTGTAAGGGGCATTAAAAAAATTACAGCTAATTAGTAAGCTGACGGGAACAAAGAGAATGTGGAGCAAAGATGTCGGAAGCAAGACGTGGAGGTAAGGGCAGTCTTCTCCGACTGACATTGGAGCTTTCAGTTGAGCGATCTTAGTGATGTAACCTTGCTTTGCCATGATCTTCCATCGATCTGATTTGTGACAAAATACTGGAACTTCATATATGCATACATATCCATATCTATCTATCTATCTATCTATCTATCTATCTATCTATCTATCTATCTATCTATCCATCCATATATACATACATTTATGTGTGTATATGTGTATACATACATTCTTTCAAAATGTGGAATTCCAAAGGCTCCTAATAGAAAATGGGAGATATTTTTAAATGCTTTTAAATTATTTCCCAGGCGATCTATTAGAGTTGTGAGGCAATTCTCCAGGATTATTATGGGAAATGATTTCCATTTCTCTTTCTCTTTCTCTCTTTCTTCTCTCTTTTCTTTCTCTTCTCTCTTTTCTCTTTTTCTCTCCTCTTTCCTTTTCTTTCTTTCCTCTCTTTCCTCTCTTTTTCTCTCTTCTTTTCTCTCTCTCTCTGTCTCTATCTTCCTCTCTCTCTCTCTCTCTCTCTCTCTCTCTCTCTCTCTCACACACACACACACACACACACACACACACACACACATACACACACACACACACACTGAAACAGACACACATCTTGAATCAGCCTCTCCCCTCACCATATATTCTACTTCCATTCTTTTATTTTCAAGTGGCAAAGCTTTGGAGAGGCTTTCTTCGAGATGCCATCCCTCAGGGAGCACACAAAGAAGGGAATGGGTTTAAATCATATACAGGCGACTTGCCTTCTCAGTTTCTCCTCATGCTGACTTTCAGTGGGTGATACATGGCTATGGTGATGCAATGGTGAGCCTGTGACAATTGACCCTGTGAGGCAGCCAGAGGAGCTCTCATGCTGGGCACCATTTGTTTATAATTGCTATTTCAAAGTTAGTGTCTAAGATAAAGCAACCAAAATGGGACAAGCAGAGGCAAGAGAGAGTAAGAAAGCCTTTTTCTATTCTCCCACACCCCCAACCCCTCAGTTCTTCTAGAGACCTCTAATGTTACAGAACGGGGTGAGAGTAGGCGTGAGGGTGGGGATAGGGGAGCAGTAGGTATGGCTTTTTAAAAATTCCTTCATTAGTCTTAACATTAATATTCCCTCTCCTTGTCAAATAGGATCTCCGTCCTTTTTTTTTTTAATTCCCATCTGAATCTAATTTTTTTTTTGACGT